TTATTGTTTTATCTAATTACATTGAGCTTCCAGTACCTATATTTTTTAAACCGTTGACCTCTGTTCTTGTAAACTTGGAACAAACTGGAAAAATAACGAAATGGAAATTTTTTTGAATTGTGGTCAAATATTAACATTTATTTCATCAAATTCCAGATGTGACTTTGATGAATTATGGGTGATAGGTTTTTCGGATATAACTTATACGTTTAAAAAGTTATATTATGCCGTTAATGACCAGCCGTTTTTGTTATCACAAAAATATACATATATCAAGATTCAAATAATAATTACACGAATTTATTTTCCGTGGAGTGCATTCCAGACTATGTTCACCACTGTTGAACAGAACTAAATTGCGAGTGAAAGCGCAACTAAGAGATCATCATCAACAATTTCTGACGAAAAGAGAACGCTATCGTAATATTTTGTACAGCGCCCATGTGCGGTAATAATAAAAAATATCGAGAACTTTTTTGGAGTAGTCCATGTAAAGAAATTTTTGGAATCCCTCATGGCCTTTTAGGCCAGATTCTCGTTTATGAAATAAATTTAATGGAAAAAATTGAATTGGTATATTGGTCAATATTTTTTTTATTTAAGAATAAATGTATTTACGAATAATAAAAAAATCAACTTTTTGTTTTGTGAAAGAAAAGTGTGCTTGTTACAAAATTAAAAATAGCGCAACACTAACTACGAAAGAGAGACAAAGCAACATCCTTGATTCATTCATACATGTAAACTTTACATTATAAAGTACCACAAAGAGAACGTACATATAATCGAAAAAAAACACCAATCAGTCTCGTTTGAGCACAACAATTTTCTCGGAATACGTTTTATAGCCACTCCGGTGAAATTTATTAAATATGTAAAATGAGTCTGTGAACTTTATAATGCGACTATGTGAAAACATTACCCTATATCAAAGTTATTCTAGAAAAATGTTTTTCACCCTTCAAGAACCTGGACCTTTATAAAGAAGCTATTTCAAAATATGGACATAGCTTCTTTATAAAGGCCCAGGTCTTTATGTTAGAGACATTGGATACCTGTTGTTTAGGCAAAGGGCTTGCTCTACTACTCGCCGTGCTAGATGGTTGGAGGGATGGGTAGCAAGGTAATCAATAAAATTATGGTGGTGGCTCGACAAGTATTAGTAGGCAACTGATCGCAGAGGATCGTTGGGATCTTAATGATCTTCGTTATGTAGAGCTACAACTACATACATACGCATATACCAGTGAGAAAAAGTGTCAAGCAAGCGAAGCAAACCAATAACAACTGTTAACTTGTTACCCGTTATATATTTACAATTTATAAATCATTGTTCTCATTACAATAACTGTACACATAAGCATCTCTTTAACTGCCCTGTTAAACCCACTCATCTGTCACCAGAATCTTATTGGACGTAGCCCATAGACATTGCAATCTTCCCAAAACCGGAATAATGCAAAAAAACTACAACAAATATTTAGTTGCTACAACAACATATAATGTCCAACACATTTTTATAAGCAATCCTATCCATTACTTCATATATCTCGTAAATGGATCGAACTCCATAAGAGTCGTATTCCACGGCCTCCTTAGTGATGAAATTTCACTACTGATATGGTTACAAAAAGCCAAATTCCATAAATTACGGATTCATTTATGGAATATTTCTCCTAAATAATTTTCTGCTATAAATTATTTTCACTGAAGCCTATTTTCCGGGCTTCAGGAACAATGTGGAAGGCTAACGACCGGTAGAGTACCGCAGTTAAGTACTCTATTCCAGGTTCATCCTGTTGCTTCAGCATTACCATTGAGATTCCGGGCCCAACGCTTTGGTTAATACGACGAACCATTACCACATATACGGTCACAAAAAAAAAACATACAAAAATATTACATTTGATATTTTGTTATTATTTCAAGTGAATAATTTGCCTGTCTATTTCAAAAAAAAAAAAAAAAAAAATCTGTATAAGTTTCTTTAAAAAAGTTACTCGTCATTTATTCAGTTTTTAATTTCAGCTGCTTTAGATTTGGCCACCAGTGTATGTTAATTTACGTAAAATGCGATTTATTTTCGGACGCAGAGAATAAAATTCTTCAAATTAGATTAAAAATTATTCACTTATTTTTATTTTTGAGGGAAAAAATCACTCTTTTAATGAGTTTTGACGCTAGGAATATGAAGATTTATTTGTTTTTGTTGTTATTTATTTTGTTAAAACTAAAAAAGTTACATAAAGATATATCTTATAATTTATATCTATATAAGAGGAAATGTCTTTAGTTTACCGTTTATAACACAATATAGGATATGCAGATTTCGCTGATTCGTACAAATTCGGAATGGAAGCAAACTTTTATCTATGTAACAAATATTGCGTTTATAATTTTACCAAAACAGATTCTAAGTTTTATTGAAACCATTCTTTGTGGGTAGAAACTGAGGCTTTGAATAAAGCTTATTTCAGTAATATGGATAAATAAATCTTAATATATAAAAGAGCTTAGTGTTAAGTGAGTGAGTGACTGACAGATCATCGCCGAGACGAAACGGCTGAAGCCAGAAGCTTGAAATTTTGAGTGTGGGTTGTTGTTGGTGTGTAGGGTTTTTGGAAATTCGAACTAGAACGGTACGAAAAGTACTAAAATGTACTAAATATGGTACCCTTTGTATTAGGCGAACGGGAAGAGCTAGAATTTTGAAATTTGAAATGTGGGTCACTGATTGAAAGTTAGAATGATGTACTTTTGTACATCTTTCGACCTACAAGTGTACTAAAAGTACTAAACTTTACTAAATTTAGTTCTTATTATATATACATTGAACATATATAGCTAGAATCTTGAATTTTTATATGGAATGCAGGAAAGTGGTGTTGATGCATGGAAATTGATTAAGAAATTCGCACTTATATGTATAAAAAACTACAAAATGGTACTAAATTTGGCACCATTTGAATTTAGTTCAATGTATAGAGATGGAATCCTGAAAATAGAAATAAGGACTACTATTGTAGTCATTCAATTTTACTTTGAGAGATAAAGAACGATTATAGAAGGAAATTTTTACACTGAGATGATATAAAAAGGCTCGGCGTTTTTGATAATCTTTTTTATATGCGATTTTTTCTTATATGAGATGTGCTTATATCCGGTATCTACTGTATACTCTATATAAAATGAGAGAAATGAGAAATATTATTTTGATATTAAAATATTTGTTATGTTTGTTTTTAAAATAAGTTTTTATTTTAAAATGAGCTCGCCCAAACGAATTTTCTGTCAAAATATGCTTTATTTTTAATTTTGTTTGAGCAAAATGTATACAAAATGTTTTTGGTTTGTATTTGGTGTTCGATAGCTTAAATAAATTCACCATTTTGTTTAAACAAAATATATAATAATGCGTATTCATAGTAAAATCTTAAAAACATAATATTCGCTCAAGCAAATTTCAACCAGTGTGTTGGAATATTGCAACACTACATTTATATTTTTATAAGTAAATCTAAAGGTATGATCTCAGCAACTGCTGCACAAAACAATTGTTTTTCCCGTCTGAGCAAACCACACCAGCTTATTTGCTTCATGGCTGGTATTGAGCAGAATCCTGGCTCAATTCCAACGAAGTCACTTTCTGTTCCGTGTGTCAACCTTGTCAAGGTGCAATGCAGCCAATGCATAGGTTGTCACAATCTCGAAGGCAAAACCATCAAAAGCTCATGTTCCATACTAATGTTCAAACTCCTCTGTGATACATCGCGCAACGTCCAAATCCCTCAGTATAAGGGTATATAAGGGTGCCTAAAATAATATTGGTATTGTGGAGTTTCGTTTTTCAAAACAATTGCCTGTAATTCGGTATTTTTCTATCCCAAAAATTATAAAAACTTGTCAGTGTTTTTAATTGGCGCTCATATGATATCATGACGATTTAGCCATGTCCGTCCGTCTGAAGGAATTGAGGTAGATCGCCAACATTTTGCATAGAGCCGTCTTTTGTCTGCAGACAGGTCAAGTTCGAAGATGGGCTATATCGGTCCACGTTTAGGCATATCCCCCATATAAGGGTACCGCCCAATTTTCGATATTTTGGGTTTCTTGGGCGCGCTTTTCAACCGAATTAGCTGAAATTTGGTACACTAAAAATTATAAACATCGGTCCACTTTTTCTGGTAGCCCTATATACCCCCAATTTACGGTATTTTTGGGTGTTTTAGACGCGATTTTAAACCGAATTCGCTTATATTTGGTACAATGGGTTCTTATTGGATACCAAATTTTTCCACTAAAAATTGTGAATATAGGTCCATTTTTCGCGTTTTTCAACCGAATTCGCTGTAATTTGGTATTTTGCAGTCGCATATGGTAACAAATCTTCATTAAAAATTGCTGAAATTTGTATTTGGTGTACACAATGGTTTACATAAACCGGTTAGTAGAATTATCGGTATAGGTTAACTTTTTGGTATGTTCCCTATATTTTCATTTCAAGTATCTGTCAGATACCTATGGTGGGTAGGGTATCCAAAGTTCGGCCGGTCGAACTTAACGCTTTTTCACTTGTTAGTTCTATTTACTTAGAATCTAGACCACTTAACATACAACAATTCTTATTCTAGCACACGCAATATTTGTAGCACCGTTTAACGCTTTTTATTGTTTTCCATTCAGTAGTAGAAAAGTTAATACATTTAACTATTCAAGCTAAATCATTTCATCAAAAATTATTTATATTCAATATATCCAATCAAAACAATCCAACTAACCAAGATAAAATGAATAAATATTGGATTGGGTATGAGATCAAAATATTACTCTTCCCGATAGTTACCAACATTTTCTGCCACACAACTCATTACGACATTTTTTAGCCATCACCCTGACTCAAATCCAAATATATGAAATTTTCGCTGATAAAGTCTGTATTCTAATTTCAGTTGCATTTTTTGAGATCACTATGTGTATATAATATTTACATGTCGTTCTAGCATCAATTGATTACCGGTGTTCTACGTTGGAGGGCAACTACATCACCAGACCACGTGCTATTCACGCTTCTTAATTCTAAAGGTAAGACACGTTTGATATTATTCTAATTTCTTGACATGAATCTTTATATGTTAACGTTTCTGTTAAGTATAGCATGTTAGCAATAGACAAAGATAATTATAAACGCAATAAACTGTATGTACAAAATCTGTCTGTTTAGCCGGGCCTAAAATTGAAATACAAAATATTCATCACTGCTCCTTGTGCATTTATTATTTTACTTTTACATTCGACTGTACATGGACATAACGTGCCCAAAATCACGAAAATACCGAATATTTATTGGTACCATAATATGGGGACGACCTGAAACTTTGGTCAATATTAATAATTTTGGGTAACGAGATTTGGCAATAAGAAACCAAAATACATCTAAATTTGGTTAAAAATGTGTCTAAAATCTCCAAAGCGTTATATGGGGGGATACCCAGAAACTTAGGCCAAGTTTACTATTTTTATGTACTGATATGACTTATACAGTTAGAACCAAATTTCAACTAATTTTGTTGTCCAAAATCGCCAAAATATCGAATCTTGGGAGGTACCGTTCTTTGGGGGCTACACCAAAACGTGGACATATATCCCATTTGCAATACCAAACATCCTAGGAGTACTAGCAATGTCTGGGCAAAATTTCTGGGCCCTATTTCAAATATTGCGATCTCTATCGTGATTTCAACAGACAGGTGGACACGCATAAATCAACATAGAATTGTATTCTGATCAAGAATATTTAAACTTTGTGGGGTCTGTGGTGAATATTTCGAGGTGTTGTAAACGGAATGACAATATGCACAATATATAATATATACTACATATAAGGTTTAAAAAGAGAAGTAGCTTACGCTTTGTTAAAAACGCTAAAAAAACCATCAGTTTCTAGCTGAATATATTTGTTTCAGCTATGTCTAACTATATATGACTACTATTTCGATATAACCGAACTTGACTGTATTTTGTTGCTTAGCCGAACAATACAAAAGCGTCGAAGTTACTTGCGGCGAAGTTACTAGAAAACTAGACAGTTTTTAAATATTACAAATCAATTTTAAAAAATGAGAAGTACGAATAAGAATGAAATGTAAAAAGAGAAGAACAACAAAACAGTGACGTAAATTGCATACTTTTAGTGAAAACCGTTCTTCACAAAATAAATAACAATTTAATGTGGAGTATTGAGAAATAGTCAGAATTATCTTCTCGACTATAATTATCTTATCTACTATATATTATTCTAATCATCCCTGCTTCCGATATATGTACAAACATAATGAATAGGTTTGACTTCAAGTTTGATAACGCCGCCTGTTAGATGTAGTTGATGGTACTACTTACCAGCAACGTACACAGGATTTCATTTCGGGGGGGCCCGGTAGTACAAAATGAAAAAAAATCGCTGTTGCAGACATACATTGCGTACGTCCCTGCTACTTACCATAAACGATCCCATTTTTTATGGTAGGAACGTATACAGGATTTTATTTTGGGGTGGCCGCTAGTACAATATAAAAATATTTCCTGTTTCAAACATAAATTTACTGTGAAAAAAAATTAATTAAATGGCTACGTCGGTGGTTTAGGGAGTAATCATAGTTTGGAAATGGGTAATATTGAAAAATTTTCAACATAGCTAAAGCCTTTTATAACTCGGGAATTATTAAAGTATGTAAGAAAAAATAGTTTTGGATTTATTGGTCTGTCGTTGCAAACTTGTCATGATATTGTCTGTTTTAATTTACAGAAATAGGTAAAAACAGGGTGGGGCAACCCAAGTTTTTTTTACGTTTGTCTTTTCTCTATATGTGACTAAGCCACTCATTTCACGGTCTTCGTGATAAAATAAAAGTAGAAGCCTACAAATGAGAACTATATCCCTTATGTATAATTTTTCGGAAATTTATTTGCATCGACCTTTAAATTGTGCTGAAGCTCGACTTTGAGTGGTTTTTGATTTTTTCTAGTTTCACAAATCACGCAATCGCGAATTTCTGACTAAACTTAGCAAAAAATGTTTTTGAAAATACCGAGGATTGATTGCATTTTCTGCATATTATTTCCGTTTCAATAAACCGTTTCAATAATAACAGACTTTAAAAACTTCTGCCAAAAGAGAGATGTGCCCGATTTATATCAATAATAGCATGTATTACTACATCCATTATTCTTAATGGATCGCATTGAAATAGGTATAGATCGATATAAGAATTGTGTTATTTTAATATCATTTGAATTATCGTAGTGTTTACATGATCTAAACACTAGGATAATTCAAATTATATTTTTATATCATAATAATGTAATCTCCTAAATTTTTATTATTATTTTTTCAAATTTCACGAAAATGTACAACTTTTTCGAATATAAATAATAAACGAAATTTGATTTTTCATCCGAAGATATTTAAACATAAAGTAAAGAAATATGAATTTCAGATCGCTTGAAACACTTTTCAATTGAAACATACGATTCGTTTATTTTGAAAGTGGTTTAAGTCCGTTTTAGGTTCTACTAAAAATCTTGGTTTTCTAGAAAAGTCTACAAAACATATTACGTTATATATTATATCATTTTTAAGGGAACCCCCCCCCCCCCCCCCCATTCTCGATTTTTTATTTTTAAGATTTTAAATGGGCTGGTAAATGAATACCAATGCTTGTTAAGGTTTGTAACTTGGCACATATATATTTGAAGATTTAAAAAGGAAGAAAAATAATTTACAAAAATTTGTTGTTGTTGTTTTGTTGTTGTTTTTTGGGTGCAAAGAAAAGTCCACATTTTCGATGGCGGGCATGATAACTCCTCACTGGAACATCGGAATCCGAAAATTCCAACTGTGTCAGAAAGAGGACATGTCTGGCTCTCGTATGAACTAGGATTATTGACTTCGCTCTAAAATTAACAAAATGGTGGACCTTTGAAAATTTTTTTTTGGAAAATCGCCGATTTTTTACCAAAAACCATGTTAAAAAATAAGGAAGATCTTCACCGATTGGCTTTATCCTAGTTCATACGAGAGCTATACACTCTCAGAGAAACGCTGCAAAATTTGGATCCGATTGGATTATTGGTTTTTGAGTTATCGTGCCCGCCATTCACAAAAAAATGTTTAGAGTAAAACGCGTTTAAAGTTTGAGAAGCCCTTTAGCCGTCACTTAATGTTGATACAATAAATCGGATATATCTTCAAGACTTCTTGAGATTTTCACTTGAAATTAATACGAATTATATCAACAAAAATTTTGACACCGAGAATGGGGGGGGTCCCCTTAAGGGCACAAAGCCACAAACAGAATTAATACTACTTGACAAATCAAACGCAAACCTTTATAAATCTCAATATAAAAAATAGACTAAACCCATTTTTTCTTATACGTGCAAAAGTGTTCGAATTGACTTTTTTTTAATTTTAATTATACCCGGCCCGGATTCCGGGTATAGCATATTCTAATTTAGCAAAAGTTGATTTTTGTAAAGTCGGCATCTTCATCTTACAAATTGGAAATATGCTATTGAATGCTTACCACTCACGAAAAAAGGAATTCCACAAAAATGAGATAATGAGGCCTCAGGACTTTATATCTATAATGAAATATGTTTTAAAATATATAGAACATGTTACGGACAAACACGCTTCAGATGTATTGAATGAACAACAGTTAAAGTGCCTTGAGGGGAAGTAAAAATCCTTGAATACTGTCGTTAGACGTAAACTTAGAAAAAGTTGGGGAGGATACATCCAGAAGTCTATTGTTTAAGAATTGAAAAGTGATGCATTCATTTAAAAAAGTCAAAGAATATTTCCGTTGCTACGTGGAATTAGAAGCATTAACTGGAGGAGAATTTTCGTCATAATAAGCACAATAATCAGTTTGAGTTTGAATCCAACATTTTTAAAAGGTCAAGGATATGACTGCGCATTTAACATGTCAGGCAATTATAATGGAGTACAGACCATTATTAAGTCAAAATTCATTTCTGTTCTTTCATTCATTCATTGTTCTTTATATATTTTAAAATTAAGTTTAAATTCAGCTGCTAGAAATTCGAAATATATTTTCAACAATTTTTGAAATTTGCTCATTCTTTAGAACATCCAAACTTTATGTACAATATTTCGAGAAGCAAATAAATCTTTCAAAAGACTACATTCATATTGTGAAACAAATGGGTTGCCAGGATGATTGTGTACAATTGTTTAACGAAGAATGAAGGTCGATGGTCACTTTATGTTTATAATTATGCTGTAGATTAGAGCAGGTTCGGTTGTTGAGAAGAAACTGAGACTCGGTAGAAAATGAGCACCTATTAGTCTGTGCCGCCTGTAAGCCAGGGCTGGGCAATGACACAGGAGATGCTCAATTGTCTCCGTTTCCTCCTCGTCAACACAGAGTCTACAGTAATCAATTGCATCAAGATCCCATTTACTAGTAAAAGCCCTGATGTTGCAGTGACCAGTGATGATTCCTGTCAACAATTTAACTTCAGCTTTGCTCAGGTTCAACAGTGAGTGCGTTCTTTTGGTAGACAGAGTCGGCCAAATGGATCTTGACACGTTGCACCTAGGTTCGTTGTGCCAAATTTCACAGGCCATTTGTCAAAGAATGCCTCAAAATTCCTATAGAAAAGACATATGGGTGGTTTGATTGAGTCATCAGTTTCTAGATCGTTGGATTGAGATCCTCGTCTAGCTAGTTCGTCCGCTCTTTCATTACCCAAGATGTCACAATGTCCTGGTACCCAACACAACCGATAGCTATGGTTAAGTTCTTCCAGAGCTGCTCTACACTTGAGGACGGCTTCGGATTTGATGTAACAAGATTTGATGGCTTTAAGAGCCGCTTGACTATCCACAAAGATAGTCACCGGTTCAACGACCTCAGCATCCAAATTTTTTATCAATTCCGATGCCTTCCAGATCGCGAATATTTCAGCTTGGAAAACACTACAATTGCAATCCACCTTGTAGGATAACTCAAGGCCTAACCTTTCACAGTAGACGCCTGCCCCAGTACCTTCTTCCA